CTATATAATCAGTATCAAATACACATCAGTTCTAACGAGGAGGGCAGACCTCATTTTCAATACCTCAGGAGTCTTTCCAATAACTGAAACACGTTCCCAAACTTTTTCAGCCATGTACCCCTCCTGTATCACCACCAGGTGGTGTAACCAAAGTATGAAGGAGTCACAATGAATAGAATGTTTGCACATTTCTGTTGATCTTGGCCTAACATGTATGTAGAGAATAACTGCACCGTAAATATAAGGTGAAACCACTGTTTTCATTTCATAGGAAAATCTGGTCACAACAGGTGCTGCAGTTCCTGTTTCTCGCTAAATTGCTCAATGAAAAATAAGTTTATAAAAACGGTAAATTTGTATTTACATTTGTGCACTTAGCAGATGCTTTCATCCAAAGTGACTTACAACAGGAGGGTTACCAATCACGCCACATAAGGTGATTGTTATTTAATAAAGTGGGACTTTTTAACTAGGGCTGAAATAGCCTGAAATAGCATAAGGAGAAGGAGAAGGGCAGTACAGGGAAGTGCTGGGGCAGGAGGTGCTCTCTGAATAGATAGTTGCCCCTGTTCTCGTGGTGCTCAGTAGCTCATTCATGTCAGGGTTTACCATATTAGTATTCCAACTTAGCGTGCACTTATAAACACAGGACTGTCAGAAAAACAAAAAATCTTACAATGTTTAAAATCACCTTTAATTCAATAAAAACAGCCTAAAAGAGCAGAAAAGTGCAACAGTGTTCAACTGCATCTCATCAGTGTTATTTATCCCGACCACAGGAACATCCATTGTTGACTTAATTACTGCAGTTGATCCTGTCAGCTAAGGCCACAGACCTTTCCTGTAACTCTAGCCCCACTTTAAATGTCAATAGTCATTAATTAGCTCGACACTATTTGTTATTTGAAGGTCTGGCAACCTGTCAATGACCCCATTATTGTGTTACTTCTCTCTACACAACGCGTCCACTTTCCACCCACATGCACAAAATGACTCAGCTTATTCTGTGGGCTATGACGCTCTACATTACCGCGGCTTAATGTGTCACACCTCCGCGGACAGTGTGGGTGTAACAGATGGGTGTGAAGCTAGTGGCTAAAATTAAACAACCGACCCATGGATCTGGGAAAAAAAAGGAATGGGAAGAAGAATTTCATTCCCATCAAACATGGTGGTGGTGGATCAGCACAGCTGACACCAACTGCAAATGGCAGAAAAACAAAGGCAGGAAATCCTGTGTAAGCATTTCTCCTCCAGCAGACACATGGTTTATGCATGTCCCTATCGTGGACTTTTTGTCAGTGTGATGTCGAGCCTTAAGTGAGAGGTTTAAGCTCTTTGTAAATCTATTGGCCGGCTCTCTGCTCTCCTGGTCAGCCGCTAGTAGTTCTTTTGTTTGGTGCAGTTAAGCATGACATGACAAATCCAGTGTTGGTGTGTGAGCTGATGCAATGTTTTACACTGGACTGAAGCAAATAGAGTGTGTGTTTTCACCTACAGTCACTGGACCAGGCTGAAATGTATGGCAGGAGACAAAAGTGCCACAGGACAAATACATAGTAATACATCTGTAATAAATAGGGCTGTCAATTAACTAATTAACCACAGGGTTAATCAGGATTAGTCATGACTAACCAAGATAAATCTTTCTAAATATGAGCAAAAATCCTGTGTACAGATGGAACAGAGAGACAAATAAAATCTGGTAGTGTTGATGTAATCCAAATAACTACAATAACAATATATTGTTAACATAGAAAACTCTGCAAAACTATAACTCAAAATGTACTGTATCTTCCTAGATTTAAAGTAGAAATTAAGACTATTTTTCACAGTGTGTGTAATTTACATTGTGACAACACGTGTATTAGAATAACATTAGAATATAATGTGTATTACAAACCTGTCTAATTTTAACCAACACATTTACTATTCCAAAGAAAACACCTCTTTTTTCCTCAGGCCTGGAGAAATATCGGCATATTTAAATACACACTACACCCATTGCTAAGCTGAAAGCCTCCTTGTACAATATTCACTGAAACAACTTCAACATCTCCAGAGTCTCATCATGGATGTTTCAGCAGCGAGATTTAAAAAAAAAAGTAATGTTTTCGGCATGCCCAGGAAAAAAAACCCAGCCTGGGAGCAGTGTTGCTGGAGCAGAGCAGTGACAGATGGAGAACACCGGCATAAACCTCCAGGGGTCTGACCACATCAGAATTTAACTTTAAACAGACAGAAAAAGCCTCTGGAGCTGTGATGTGCTTATACACACTTTTATCTACACTCCACACTGAGTCCTAATACGTGACGTTGAAAACGCTAAACAGAAGAGTGGTCGTTTCATAATTAAAAGAACTATATTTCAGCTAAAAGCTAAAAAAAAGTCGTGTTATTGTTATTATCCTGCTGCTACATACATACATGTAAGGGTGCCATTAATATGATCCACAAAAAATAATAAATAAATAACTATGCAAGTAAAATGTGAGACCAGATTTAAACATTGCATCTACATTTGTTCATCTCATTCATGGAAATACATCACCACTTAATATACAGAAAGGTTAGCTAGAAATTCAACCAAAATTCTCTCTCTTATACATTATTTATTGCTCTGACAAAAACGGAATTTAATCAATTCAAAATCCTGGGTTATGAACAAGTGGATGAGGAAGTGTTGTACTTCCCTCCAGTCTAATTTTACATAATGCAATCTTAAGGTCCTTATCTGTTTAAGCCTCTCTGTATTAACCTTAGTCACATTTTAAACACAGTTCAACCAGAGAGATGCTCGCGCAGATAAACTGTGAATCTACAACGCAGTCGCAATTCAATAACGGTTATCTTGCCAACCATCGGACTCACTGCTGAGATGCACTTCAATTCTAACGTGAAATTTCACTGCCAGGACTTTCCTTCCTATCAGTAAATACCATTAGTTTATACAGAATTATTAAACTCAACTGAGGCTGTTCAAATGAGAGAGCTAATTGCGTTAAATTAATTCGTGAAATTAATAGTAATTTTTTTCTAAATTTCAAGTTACACACTTAGGTAATATAATTGACATTTTTCCCATATAAATAATTTCATAATTTGCCAAAAATTAAAACAGGTGTGAAACACCAACATCTCCCAGCAACACACAGAGAACAACATGTCGATTCGTCTCAGTTAAGCTACTGTGTGATTAATCAAATTTAGAAATTGAATTGTTTGACAGATGAAAAACATAATGGACTCAGCCAACGTCAACATTAAGTTTAAAACGCAACATCCTGACAAACAAAGTGTCTCTTCTGAACTTTTTTGTTCTGTAAAAAATAAAAACGCTACTCTGTGTGTTGTTTGCACACTGCAGTGTGAAGTAGTATTAAAAACCAAGGCAGAGAAAATAATGTGAGAATACAAAGAAGGCGAGCAGCGAGAAACGGACACTTTCAGACACCACAGTTTACTGCTGTTGAATTGAGTATCGCAATGAATAGAAATGTTTTATGTTAGAAAAGACAAGGGGGGGGGGGGGCAAATAAGACCACTTTGATGTGGGGAAACGGTTGATGTCTCAGACAAATGTTAACATTGGGAACAAGTGCTGCTGTATAAATCCCTGAGATGGGTCACAGCGGTGAAGCAGAGATCAGTTTTGCGCTGTGTAAGCTACAGAGTGAGTGAGTCTCACAGTTTTACCACAGGAAATCACTCACTCTGACCTTGTCAGGCTCGAGTCAGTATGAAATAAAAATGTGTTGCCCTGGTTTTGAACCAGTGAGTAATCTGTTCGCTGCATGTATCTGGAGTTTGGCACAGCAGTGTAGATGGAGCAACAGAAAGCATGAAGGCATGAACAATCGCTCATAGATCCAGAAAAGGGTTTTAAAATCACTACTGCCTCAAAACAAGGAAATATGTAGAAATAAATAAACTGAATCAAATTTGACGTACTACATTAATTTCATAACTATATGTACCCACTTTTCACATGTATTTACTTTACTCCTCTGTGTGGAGAAAATCCAAAAGAATTTTAAAATTCTCGTCCATCAAGTGGATTAACAATATCTAATCTAAAAACCTGAAAACTAATTTGGTGCTGTTCAAAAGAGAGATGGACGGTGCGGTTTGTCAAAAAAAACATTGTAAGATGAAACTTAACCCGTGGAGAAACCAAAGTCAAAGTAAGAAAGAATCTCATTTAAATTTTGATGAAAGCAGTCTGCGCTGTTGAGAGAAAATAGACTCAGGCTTCAAAGATAGTGATTTTATACGTCTTCACAGATTTAGCTTTAGTAAATGACTGCCTTTTATATAAAAGTTTGGTGATTGGAAATGTTGAAAAAAATCGAATATTTGTCATATTGTAAAAAGGCTTCTTTGGAGAGGCGTAGGTGTTAGGAAGTTTAATGGTCTGCTTTACCCAGTTGCTTCCCTTTGACTCTATGCTGTAAGTTATTATTATAGAGAAATGTAGCAGTTGTAATATGAGTGAAAAAAATGCTTGCTCATGTAAGTCATAATTTAGAGCCATATCATTGGAAGGCAGCCTGCAGCCCGTTTGCATTCCAAGGAAAATGGATAGCCAGGGTGCAATAAATTACTCTAACCCTGAATAAACTGTTGTAACATGGATCAAATTGCTTTTTCACTCCAAAGTGTACCAAAAAAAAACTCAGCAGTGGTTCAGCCAGAGCTGAACATCCCTCATCTGTGGTGAGGCTTTGCAAAAAAACAAAAAAATCTAGTACAAAAAATACAGAATTGTACACACAACAAGTCCAGGCTCTCAGTGATACAGATAGTAATCTCTGGCTGCAGCACAGCATTTAAAGCGACATCTGTTGAACCTAAGCTCACAGAGGAGTAAAGTATGCAGACAGGAGCCAAAACACAGAGTGGACCACAATTATCACACTTAAAGCGACTTTCTGGATTGTTATGCAGATACACATGGTAGAAGATAACAGGCAGGTATTAACATTTGCTTCCACACTTACCTCTAGAGCTTCCAGGGTGACAAAGCCAACAATGGAGAAGCCATCAATGATGTCCTCCTCCGCAGAAGAAGACTCCTTTTTCTTCCTGCGCGGTGGCCGTGGGCGAGACGAGGAGGGTTCCCTCTCACCTTCCTGCTCTGAGTCAGAGGAGAAGCGAAACACTGAATCCTTGACATGGTTGTTCCTTATCCCGTTTGACCTCCTGTCACGATTCCTCTCCGACCTCGACTTTCTCTTCTTGCGTAAGCCGCTGGATCGAGGGCCATCCATGTCCTTTATTAAAAAACCTCCCAACGAGTGCTGGTTTTAGAGAGAATTCAATTCTTCAAGTGCCACACACTGACACTTCAAGCTCCACTGGTGCGAAAAACCCCCTTCAGGAGAACCTCCACGATATCCAAGTGAATGTTATCAATGTACTGGATCCAGAGTAACCATGTAATATCCACCAGCTGAAGCTGCCTTTTATAGGTAAGGCAAACCCGCATTAAGTCACTGAACCAAAGCTATGTTCCAAGCACAGATCCCCTAAGGCAGTCCATCAAATCCTACGACAGGTGTAAAATGATCTATTAAACACAATATCACCAAGCTGTCAATTCCACCAGAGGAAAAGCGTTTTAAGTTAGAGCAAATGACTTGTCGATGAACACGTCCCCCCGCGGTGAGCCGAGCAGGTGAAGCCACATCTTTCTTCAAAAGCGAAACCAGCTCTTCTTACCCAAGGTCAGCAAACTCACCCTCCTGCAAGACAAAGACGAGGAGAGAGAGAGAGAGAGAGAGAGAGAGAAGACAGCAGACATTTGCAACATGTTCACTCAGCAGGTTTAACTGTGCATTCAGCCAATGAGCCATTCTCCAAAAAGGGGCTTCAAACTCCACAGAAGGCTCCTGCCATTCTACACAATGTAAGATGAGTGTTTTATTAAAGTGTCGGGAGTCTCATCTGCAGAGTATACGGCATATTCTCACAGTGCCAGGCCATTAAGTCTGGAGATGAGATGATTATGTGTCCTAAGTGCTCTTTCACTGCTATCTCCGACACTTCTGCCAAGCTTGTAAGCTCAGCTGTGTTGGCAATCATTTTATCCCCTCAATTAATTATGTATCAGCGTTATACTCTGCAGGGTGTCGCCGTTAACACTGCAACATAAACTTCTGTCCATGTACGCTGTGCTGAACATATGCAAAGGTTACGACCTGTAAAGGTTTAAGAGTAAACCTCTGTGCACAGTTCTGGGATATTCATGGTTGGTTTGGAGTTTTAAAATAAAACCTTAATTAAATTAAACATTAAATGTTGTTGCACTTCTGAATGTTATTTTGTCTGAATCAAGTTGCAATAATTTTAATAAAGTTTCACACAGAAAAGCACATTACTATATAAACAATCAATAATAGCATTAACACTGAAGAAAAATACTTGATAACAAACAAAACCCACGTCATTTATACACAAATAATATTATATTAATATAAAACTCTTTAAATATAATAATAATATCTTGGCTAAAATGCTCTCAGAGATACTTTTATTCCGAGATTATTTAGCATATCAGAGCCCCTCATCTAAAACCCAAACATTAAACACACACATTTGCAAATATTCTGCTAATGGACATGCTGATTATATAAACACACTCCAGACTCCATTAAAACACTCTCCATTTCTTGACCGTGCTGCTCAGGGACCCACAACTTTACCGCCGGACACTGAAGGCATGTGTCTGCTCTATGGTATTAAAATGCAGCGTTCAGTCTTATTGTGGACAATTGTCCAGGCACAGATTAGACTCCAGGCCTAAAGCCACTGGAAGTCCTCACTGGCATTGTAGTCTGAAACATATATGGCCTGTGCCCAGAATATCAATTCACCTCCATTACATCACAGACATGGCATTGTACATGGAGCAGAAGTGAATCAACTAACAGCAGCCGTTCCCAACGCCTCAGTCTTCTGACTGATCACGAAGGCTGCTGGACATCACTGAAGACACACACACACATGGTGATTCTTCACACCTATTCTGCAGCAGCTGTCTGTGACATGACTCCATTATCTTTAACTTTGCATTGTCTTCTTGAGCACAGGTTGTCACAGAACGGAGCTCGTCTGTGCCACACATGATGCCTTTACACAATGCAAATGTTTCATACCTGTGCAATCAAAACCATAGGAAAAGCAAATTGCTGACCAATGGACAGCCATCTGTACCATGCTGGAATACCATGACATTAAAGTATGCAGCAACCATTCACAAATATCCCCCCTGCAGGCAGATATTTCACCTTCTAAAAACAGTCTCTAAAAAGACAAATCCACTTCTTTTTTTTACACAGCCTAAATCTTTTTTTTTCTCCATCTGTTTACCACAATCCCTAAACCTTCAACCTGATGCCCTGTGCCAACACACTGCACAAATAAGTCCCCAAATAGCGCTTATGTGTGGTAACTGTGTTGTACAGCACTCGCCCTGGCTTGTGTGGCTCAGTAAAAGACTCTTTGCCTCGTCTTCGCTCACAGTCTCTTTTTGTCTGCCTGTGCTGTCAGCAGAGATCTCAGGCTCTGTAATACAGTCCAGCCCACAGCAGCAGCAGCAGCGGCGGCGGCGGCGGCAGCAGCAGCGGACTGGCACTGCCTCCTGCTCCGGCAGGCTCCGAGCTTCATTCCCACTATAAGACACGCAACAAAAGCAAACCCTGGCTTTTTCCCCTTTCTTTTCCAAAGACACGTCATGCAAAACCAAGAAATGCAAACCCTTGCGAGTGGAGCGAGGGACCTTCCGGACAAGTTGCAGGCCTCCGGTCACTATTAAAAAGAGAAAGCACAACAAGGTTTGGAGCTGGCAAAATAAATCCCGCAGAGGAAAAAGCACGGGGTCTCTCCTCCTCCTCCTCTGCCCAGAGCCGAGCTTCAGGACCCGGGCGCAGTGATACGCCGCTGCCGCAGTGCCGCTTTACTCGCTGCACGCTTCCTCCTCGGCGCAAATAGTGCTGCTGTGTGCTGAAATTCACCGAGTTACACCGCAGAAATAGAACAGGGAGGCTGAGCCGAGGCTCCAGTCAGACAGAAGACACTCTGACATAAGTTTACCGCTTTCTCGGTACATTCCATCCCACTACTTTGTTATGTCTGAAACATTAAATCAGTTAGACAGCCTGGTAACGTCAGGGTCAAACCTTATCATTTTCTAAATACAGGCGGATGTCTTAGTCTACAAACGACAAGCATGACGTAGGAATGCCAGAAAATGAACTAATTAAAAAAATACATTTGAATGCTTAATTATAGTAAACACCCAGCCACGACAACTGTATGAAACCCATGTGGTTTTTGTCTATGGGCTGGTTGTAGTGGGCAACTTGAGTAGGATGTGTTGGCAATTTAAAAAAAAAAACTTTTTTAAATTGCCAATTTAATACCCCCAGTATTAAATTGCCAACACATCCTACTCATTTTGGTTCAGGGGCCACATACCACCTCTTAGATGTCAAGTGGGAGGGACCAGTGCAATCATTACACAATTACCTAAATATATTATAAACATAATTTCACCAAACATTTCCTGAAAATTTACTACACTCGTATGGCAAATTCTGAGTGTATGTTTACAAGTCATTCAGATGTCCTCCAGAGTTAATCTGCACCTGAACTGCACACATTTGTCACAACAAGCTGTGGAAGTTTAAAAAATCTTTCATATCAGGATTTAAGATCAGATTATATTGTTCTGTTTCTATTCCCATCGTTCCCACCTATCAAATGCTGGATAAAATCTGTCCCAGCATTATTTTCTACAATAGCACACAGTGGGACGGCCCATTGTTTAGGAGGGGTAAGAATAATCTACTCTATGGGCAGTGGTGGCCTAGTGGTGAAGGAGGCGGACTTCGGTCCGGAAGGCCCCAGGTTGCCACTGAGATGCACTGAGCATGGCATCGTCCTCAAGCACTGCTCCCCGGGCGCTGACCACTGACCATCACTTTGGTGATGGGTTAAATGCAGAGGGTAAATTTCGTTGTGTTTAAGTTTAAGTTTATGAGCTAGGGTAAATGTGGTGAAAGATGCAATCAACCGGAGGTTTTTAATGTTTCTTAAATCAAAGTTTGCATTTTCAAATAATAAAGTGTGTAGAAATGTTTATGCTTTTATTATAAACGTAGAAACATATTTAAATAAAAATGTTTTAATCAACCAAACGTGTCATGACGCGGTGTAGTATCTGTGTACACCACACACGGTGTTGCGGGCCCCTGATGTAAACTTGTAGACAACAATAAAGTAATAAAATGTAAGTGAACAAGGCTGCAAGAAACAGTTTTTCCTCAGTGCTGTTATGTGATAACAATATATGATAGATACGTTCTACATACTAAATAGTACAGTAAGTACAGATACTTTATAAGTACAGATACTGTACTTATGATACGTTCTACATACTAAATAGTACAGATAATGTACTTACAAAATGAAGTACTGTTTAATATGTGAAGCACAAACAGCTGGCTTACAAAACAATCCAGGCTGCCCCTCGCATGTATCTAAGTTGGGCCTCCAAATTGTTATATCCACCCCTGTATATTATGGTATACTTTAAAAAAACCTACATCAATGCTATGGACCAATTTGACCTGTTAATAGAGACAAACTGTTGGAGCTGATTTAAAAATAACGACTAAAAATGCTATTTATCATAACAACAAGATTCACTCTTTAATGTTGTATTAATAATCACATATATATAGATCTGACCCCTAATGTGCATTCCATCTCCATTGACAAATAATGAAACACGTCAAACAAACGTTAACTTCAGGGACACCTGTACAACTCCGCTCAC